GGATCAGCTCGGCGATGGTCACCTTGCCCTGCTGCAGCCGCCGCTTCACCAGCTTGGAGCAGCAGATGTTGACGGAGCGGAGCACGTGCCCGCTGTTGTACTCCACGAAGGAGCGGCTGTCGATGACCAGCGGCCCCCCGGGCCCGGCCCGCAGCAGGCTGGCCAGTTTCCTGGCGTCCATCGCCTTCCGAGGGAGCCGGTCCCCGGCCATGGCGCGGCCGTGGGCAGTGCGGAGGGGAGACCCCCAGAGCGAGCGGGGGCTGCTCCGAAGGCCAGGGTGTGGCCTAGGGTTGCAAGCGGCTGGGCATGGCGCCAGACCTGCAGGGAGAGGCAGATGGTCAGCAGCGGGCGGGCACCGGGCCAGCGCCCCAGACGGGAGTGACCTCAGAGGGGCCGGTGGTGGGGCTGACCCCAGGGCACCAGAGAATCTGGGCCTGATGTGTGCCTGTGGGGCCCCGCCCCCTCTGGGTGGTCAGCGTCCCTCTGGCTCCTCCATGGAGGTCGAGCTCCCTGACCCCTCAGCTCTGAGCTGGAACCTGTGAAGTGTGCTCAGTGAGTGGCCATCCAGCTCCGCACCCTCCAGGTCACAGTGTCAGCCTCCAGCAGGACGCAGCAAGGCAGATGGGGGACTTACAGATGGAGGGGCCTTGGGGCCTGGGCTGGAGAGGTGGGATGAAGCCTGAGGGCCCCCTCCTCTGGGCCTTTGGGTCTACGGACCCTTACTTATTCCAGAACACTTCTTTCTGACCCTGTGGCTCCTGTCGCCTCATCCCTGGGAGGCAGACCCCTCCCCAGTCTGGCCTCCACGTCTTCTCAGTTCCCAGGACCCCAGGGCAAGACAGGGGTCCAGAACATGCCCCCCACCCTCCCTTGCTGCCAAGCCCTCCCCTCCCCGGCACACCCTTGCTTCCCAACCCCGCTCAGCCCCATGGCTCCAGAAGCCAGTTATCTGGATGGGGTGAGTGGGGGGTCTCCTGGACGTGGTGGCCAGGGTGGGGCGCTGGAGGGGGTTCAAGAGTGGAGTTCTGCTCCTGGGTTCTGCAGGCCAAGACTTAGACACGCCACGGGCCAATGTCTGCCTCCTGCAGGGACATGACACGTGCTCACAGAACAGGGGTGACACATGGCCTAAGGTCCCAGGCACAGCAGTAGCCTGGGGTCTAGGGCACTCTTTTTGGGACTGGTAGGTCCAGGGATGGGGTGTGGCAGGGGGCACCCAAGGTCGCTGTGGGTGGCCTGTATGTAGGACCCTCAGGCTCAGGGGTGCTTGGAAGGAGCGGGAGGTGGATGGGGTCATGGGGACTCCAGAGCCCTGGGCAGAAGCTCCCCCTACAATTTGGTGCCAAACCTCTGCCCCACCTGTTACCTGTCAGAACTGGCCTTCCTCTAGGCCCACTCAGGCCTCACAGCCCTCTCCCCCTGGAGGCATTTGGCATCGGGATGATGAGTTTGCTTTAAAGATGGGGAAACTGAGGAGGGGGTGGGATCAACTCAAGGTCACATGAAGCAGACTGGACAGAACCCAGGGCCACTCAGTCAGGGCCTTCCCTCGACCATATCCCCAGCCAGTGGGGGGGGGGGGCTGGGAGACGGCTGCCCCCCAGGGCACAGAGAAGACCCCCTCGGCGGGGCCCCAGCCGCAGGGGCAGAGGGTGTTGGTGTGAGGGGACATGTCGCCCTTCAAGCAGCGCTGATGACACTGCCGCAGCTGCCCCATCCCTGGGCCGCCCTCTTGGGGGAGCTCCCTGGCTGGAACTCTGGGCTTCTCAGTGGTGGGGGGGGGAGGCCTGGAGGTGCAGCTGGGGCTGCTCCCCACTCCACGCCAAGCAAGTCTGACAGCAACAGGGCCCACCTCATGGGGGGACCTGCCTGTGAGCCAAGGGGTCCCTGATTTGATTCCTGTACCAGCTTTTTCCAGAAGCTTCTCATGAGTTCTAACCCAAATCTTGTCAAGGCTGTGATGGGTCATGGCCACCAGGCCCCCTCCCACATGCGGCTCCTGCAGGCCTGGGCAGGGCCTCCCCACCTTGGATGTGGGACCAAGAGGCCAGTTCAGAGGCCCAGGGACTGGAGAAGGGTGAAGCAGGGTGGGGACACTGGGGGTCCAGAGGGTCCCAGCTGAGCCCCTGACCTCAGAATCTTCATCAGCCAGCTGGGGGCGACTCCCTTTCACCTGAAACAATAGAAGCCAAACGGAATTTGGTGCAGGGAGGATGGAGGGGACTGGTAGGGAGAGGCCTTCACTCTGCCTGCAGCCGGCCTGCACTGGGCTACCGCCCCCGGGTCCTTCAACAACCAGAGAAGGGCTGGGGTGTGGAGGGGTGCCCACTCCGCAGAGGGGCATGGAGGCTGGGGAAGGGGTGGGCGGCTGGCTCCCAGGCCCAGTACCTGGGCCCAGCCCCCGCCTCCCAAGGAACCCTCCAGCTCGGCCCTATTAACCACTGTAGTATTGTTATTTGCAGCCGAGGGGGACTCATTAGCAAGTTGGCACCTCCACCGTCGCCATGGCAACAGCAGAGGTGCCAGGCAACCGCTGCTCCTGCGGCAGCCGCTCAGAGCAGCTCACTCTGCAGAGCCAGGTCCCCTCCTCACTGGCTCCCACCCCTCCCTGGCACTGCAGGTGCCCAGTAGCTGAGCCTGGGACCACCCCCCAGCCAGGCCACCCCTCTTCCCCCCCAACCCTCGACCCCCAGTCCCAAAGATCAGAGGGGTGGATGGATTCCTCCAGGCCCCTCCCTGTCTGCTCCACCTGGTCTTAACCCTTCTCACTGTGGGCACCCACGTGCACAGACTCATGCCCGGCAGCCCTCTCTCTCCCACCCCTAGGAGGCCTGGCCTGAAAGGCCGGGGTCTGGCTGGAGGGCCTCTCCTGCAGACCTGTGGCACTCAGCTGGCTTTCTGGGAGTGCACCCTCATCCACAGGGCCTCCCTGGGCCTGGAGCTCCTGGGGGGCAGACCCCTCACCTCCCGAAAGTGCAACAGAGATCGGGGCTCAGAGCTGGGCACTGGGGGGCGGCTGGAGAAAGTCGGGACAGCCTTGGGGACACCAGGTGGGCAGAGAGGAAAGAGACTGTAGGGCGTGGGCCACCCCCCTTTCAAGGACCCACCCCAGGCTCAACCGAGACCCCTTCCCTGGGAGCTGAGGGGGAGAGCATCCAGAGCCTGGGGCGGGTGGGAGGGAGGAACAGCCCTGCTTGCCCCAACCAAGGGGACAGCAGTACCCAGTCCAGAAGCAGAAGGAAGGCCCTCCCCTCCCTGCCCTGGCTGGGCGTGGCCTGGGAAGCCACAGGCAGCCCCCCTTTCCCTGGGGAGGCCAGGTACCCGGGCTGCCTGGCCCCTGTGCGGTGGGCAGGTCAGACATGCCCCTTTGCACACTGACCGCACGCGGGACCTCGTACTTACCCCATTCCCACAATGCACCCCACTCCTGTGCGCACTGTCTCACGTGACAACACGTGTGCACGTTCACGTGGTCGCTGGATGCACACATCCCCACCTTCTCCATGCCAAGCACCCCAAGCTCCAGGAAGCCCAAGCCCCAGTGCCAGCTACAGCACCTCCTTGCACCATCGGCTGCGGCGGCCTGCACTTGGCACATCCCTGTCCCTGAGCACATGTGTGACCAGAAAGCTCCCAATTCAGGGCAGCCTCATCAGATTCTACTCAGAGTCTAGGGAACGCACGCCCCCAGGGCGCAGACAGCAACTGCAGCTCTCACGCAGACGGCGACTCCGGCCCGAGTGGTGCCTGGTACACACAGGCAGGCCTTCAGGAAGAGCTGCCAGTGGAGGGACCCACAGTGCTGAGACGTCCAGCTCACTCTGACCCAGGCAGGGGCTTTGGAGGCAGAAACTGCTACACTGAGGAGGCCAGGAGAGACTGTGAGGGGGTGACCTCCAGGAGTCAGGGGGCCCGAGTGCTCACCCTCAACTGCTGTCATCAGGGACCCCCAAATGTTCTTGCCCCTGCTCTCCCCCCGCCCCGTACTGGCCCTAGTTCTCGGGGATGTGTGGCACGGGACCCAAGCTGGCCTTCACTTTGTCCTGGATGAACTTGGCAACACCAAGCAGAACCAGCCTAGTATGGGGAGGCAGTGGGCTTGGGAGACAGTGAGGTAAGGCTCCTGCCCTGCCCAGGGGTCTGGGCTGAGCCTGGGCTAGGGGGGCTTGGCACGTGGGTCCTTAAAAGGGCAGGCCCAGGACCCTACACATGGAGATCTCCTGTTTCTGCCTGGCTTGTTCTAGCCCCACTGATGTGCAGAACTTCCACTGGTCACTGTCCCCCATGCTACACACCTGGGCCAGCGTCTACCGGTCATTGTCCCAAGGGGTTCAGGCAGAGGTGGCTCAGCCTGTGCAGTCCTGATGGCCAGAGTCTGAGCTACGTCTCTCTGGCAGTGGGTTTGGCTGCCTCCACTCCTTTCCCTCCGAGCTGCATGTCTAGGAGCCGAGCGGACACCCTCTGGCTTCCTCTGGCCCTGGCCCATGGCCCCACGAGCTCTGTCTGGTTGAAACCTCTGGGCCCTGAGGTCGGCCTCAGCCTGAGGGGTGAGGCGATGCTGGGAAGGGTCCTGGAGCAGATGACTCCTGCATCTCTGTTCCTGGGAACCCACTCTTCCCAGAGGCAGCCTCTGGGGCCCAGGCGCCTTTCCAGGGGCCAAGGGCAGCAGGGGACTAGAACTGCCCAGCAACTCTCCTGAGGGCCGCAGGCGGCCTACAGCAGGAGGCATTTCAGTCAGACTTCAGGACGAACTCCTGGTCGCACGGTCTGGCCATCTTTGGCAGGTGCTTATCAACTATCTGCGGAGCAAAGGAACATCTGTCCTCCCTGAGCAGGACAGGGACACTGGAAGCTACCCTCATTCCCTGGGCTGTGCTGGGAGCAAGGAGTTCTGAGGGAGTCGACGAGGAGCGCATGGACCCTCAGACCATTGTGGACCCCTGGGAGCAGGGGCACAGGGCAGGAAGAACACTGCTTCCGTGGCCTGCAACATCCCCACCCCCACCCCAAGCAGCACAGGAACACGGCAGACGCCGCACTAGATCCGGCCACCTCTCTCCTCCACCCGACAAAGTAGCCCCAACATTGCAGCACCCAGGCCCCAACACCCCCATTTCAGAAGCCAGTACAATTTTGCAGCAGGAAGTCAGAAGTCAATTCTCCCAGAAGGGATGACCTGGTGGCGGCTGGGCCCATTGTCACCCCCTCCCCTTCAGGCTGGACCAGTAGGTACCCTCCACCCCTAGGTGGGCGGATAGGCTTTAGGGGGCTGGGTACACTCGGCCTGGCGGTGCCAACCCCTCCCCCAGCACCCGCCGCGGCTTCTGCAGCAGGCTGGCGGATGGTCTTTATTCCTCAGAGACCAGCTGAGCACCCCGACGTGGGGGTGCGCTTCGCAGCTTGGCTAGACAGGGGAGATGGCTCCGCAGTCCTTCCCCACCGGACACAGAATGAGCCCTTTCCTGAGGCTCCCGCGGGCCAAGGCCTCCGCATCTCCCCGCCGGGCCCGGGGAACGGACAATTTCCTCCAATTCCGGGGCCCAGCGTGGTGCCGTTCGGGGACGTCTGGGGCTCGGGAAGGGGCTAGGACAGATTCAAGCTGGATCTCAAACGGCCCTTCTCGTTCTTAATTCGTGCCCCTCCCCACCAAATTAAGAAAGCACTGCAAGGAGAAAAGCGGCGAAGCCGTGGCCGGGTGTGGGCTGGGCCGGGGTCCGCAGGGCGATGCGGGAGGCGGGGGAAGAGCTTATCGGTCCGGTCAGTAGCGTCCCTGCGTGAGGGGTTAGGGGCCCGCGGGCCGGC